ATAAAGAAAAATTAGCGACATCATTATTTTGAACATTGTGATAGTACATGTTTTGCAGAATTTTCATGAATCACCCACGAGCAAATCTTCCTACGTGTCACCCGCCAATTTTGATGAAACTTGGCCCATTTATACTACATAGTATCCTAGTAACAATCCTAAAAGGATTTGGATTTCTGTTGCTTCTTTCTATCTTTATGAATGTTGCACTTTACCGCCATACATCATAGCATAGGTATACCATATTGAAAAACTGATGTCAAGAATTAGGTAACAATAGTTATGATCTTCCTTCCAAACTGTTATTGTATATCCATTTACAGATAAAATGCCCCAGTTCTCTATATTCAGTTCACTTTCTTCAAGTAATCATTTCAGAAACCAGACAATCGATCATGTCATTGATGATAAACGAAATAACGAAAACCTAATAAACTATTAGCTTCTCTTTGCTAATGAATGTGATAGTCCACAAAAAAATAACTGATACACAAAGACTTCACACTAACTGCAGTTAAGAAAAATTGTTACATGTTTCCAATCTTTGATCGCATATAAGTTGTCTTTGAATGGGAGACACTTTTTCATCATCTATACTTATTTGGTTTTCGTACAATGATTGATTTCATGTTCAAATTAAGATCAACTGTGTCTTCGTCTTTGAATGACTATCAATTCCGATTTAGGAGAGATTGATCGTGATCAAATAGTATAAATGCTAGTGCTTTATCATTTGGTCAAATATTAAATTTTGAAGGTGTTACTAAGTTTTCAGACATTAAATTTTCCAAAACAAAATCAATAGCAGATTTTATACTTATCATGTTCGATTTCCAAAACAAGGTTTTATTCAACCATGCGGTAAACAGTGAATATATTATTGTTCGCTTTATAACAACATGCAATATTAGCACATGGAGGATTATTCAATTTATCATAATTAGCTATGTTTCGGGAAAATTTGAGAAGCGATGATATCAAGAGGTATTCATATATATTATGTACGCCCCTTTGTACCTTGAAAAGCGGTTCGTTGCATGTTGAAAATAAACAAATTGAAAGAATTGCGGTATTTTATTTGTGAACGGATATAAAATAATAGTAGGGAAGTAAAATCATAACTATTGTTAGCCAATTCTCGACATCAAGTTTTTCAATATGGCATACCTATACTATGATATATGAAAGTGAAATGCAACATTCATAAAGATAGAAAGAAGCAACAGAAACCCAAATCCTTTTAGAGTTGTTACTAGGACATTATGGAGTATAAACGGGCCAAGTTTCATCAAAGTTGACGGGTGACACGTAGGAAGGTTCACTCGTAAGTGTAGTCTAATATATATATTACACAAATAAAATGTTCATTGGATCAAGAATATAATTATTGATTATAGCAGTAAAATTACACATTGGTATGGTTATACGGTTTTGAATGCATGAGATTCTACTCTTAGTTGTTTCCTGTGGATACGATCAGAAGTTGAACCACAATTCGAACATTTATATTCAAGTTCAATCTAGCAAACGATTTCAAGAAAAAAAAAAGGGAAATTGAAAGAAGTTTATCAATATTCATTTTTGAATAATTATACAAAATTTGGTCGATAAAATAAAGACAATCAATAGGAAGATAAATAAATTTCGGTGCCATTTATTTTCTCTTGCTAGCTTCGCAGAAATTTCGTTTTTTTCTATTCTATGAATCGTTTTAATAGAATCTATTCAAATGAACATTCGTATTCTAATTCAGAGAACAAAAAAAAAAAGAAAATTTAAATGCAGTGGATATTAAAAGTATACACAAATTCTCCTGATATTTTATGAGCTATTATTGATTTTGCTGGAACAATGATTTTCTATTTTATTTTTCGACAATTCTTACAAGCTTCTCAATAGCAATGTAGTACTATTAATAACACAATCAAATGAATCAAAACTAAAGAACGATAAAAGTATTTTCATTAATGATTAGTGAAATGTTTTAGGAACTTTTCCGTCTGCTTTAATAACATGAATCATTTGTTGTATAATTTTTATCACATTCAAATGGATTGTGATTTCATGTAAACAACGTGAAGATGAACAAAAAATATTTTCCTCGAGAAATAAAGTCAGACGATAATTTATTTTATGATGAATGATGTTTTTTTTAAAAAGAATGATAACTATCCAACGTGTGATTAAATAAACGAGGAGAATGAGTTCAATTTGACCTTAATGATATTTATTGGGTTGCTTTGTTCTAATAAGTAACGATTATAAGAATGATCAATAAAGTGAAAATAAGACATTGAATATTTTTATACTTCATAAGAATAAGTTTCAATATATTTTTGAATCCATTTTCATTAATCGAAAATAAAACGTCAGAAGACTTTATTAGTTTAAACGATGTAGATAGTATGATTGGAAATGGAATATTTTCTTCATCGTGTCAAATTCATTCATGAATGTAAGGTTCGATGATACTCAATACAATTATAAAAATGTTTCTATTCTTATCTCAATTTTAAATACTTCAAAGCAGATATTATTTCATATTGCGATGTATCTGAACTTCATAGGACAAAAGAGACTTGTGCTTTATTTTTGATAGTCGGTTACGGCACGCATAAACATGTCAACGATTCTATATATGAGAACGTTCGCATATGTATCAAGAGAAAGAGTAAAGAAATCATTTGACAAAATAAAAACGAACAAATCATGATCAAGATAGTTGATATTTGTAATTGTTTCTCAAAAGCCTTAGCCTTTCACTTGGGATGTCGCTTTTATGAGAGAAAGAATGCCACTCAACCCTTCAAATTGTTGTTTAGTCACATGTTCTTAAATGGATGGGCACTACGTGAAATTATTTGAAGTGGTTGATTTGTCGCGTATTTTAACATTAAAATTTCAACGGGAAAATTCAAGCTTTTCTTCTTTATGTTTAACAATGGTGTTTGTTCCATAATTCTATTCGATTTGCAAGGAATGAGAAGGTAATGATTACAAGCATTATTATTACCATAAAAATAATAACAAAAAAGGATCAAATTGTTTTCTTTTTATATTAGATTGGCATATCATTTATGGTCAAGTCATCTGCACATGTGTGATATATTAGAATGGATAAGTGTTTAGAGCAAGAGAATGATATGCAGATATAGCAACGAATCATATCAAGATTGATCAGATAATCGCTCAATTTAAAAATGTTTAGCCACATTTGAAGCAGATGCCTACGAGATAATTAGCGCCTCTCTCTTAATGTCTCATGCTCTCATCAAAGATTCGATAATGATCAGCTTCGCAAAAATCAAACTCTTAAGGCAATGGTCATTGGCCTTATTCACAGCAAAATACGCGAAAATCGATTTCTTTTCCTTTGAAGTTTTTCTTCAAATAAAAATTATTTTTCTTTACAAACAAAATGTCATGAAATTTTTTCGTGTTGTATATTAAAATGTATCATCAAAAATTGATTATCTTATGAAAGTGCGACAGATAATGATGCATGAATGGCTGCTCGATATATCTTTTTTCCTTTTATATGGTATCTAAATACATCATTCAATCTGCACATCACTTGGTGTACAATTCTCTTCTATCAATCACAAGTAGCTGATTACTCTTCTTTCTCTCACGTGACTATCAGATTCAGCGCCATAACGGTTTGAATGAAATAGTTTGTTTAAATTTATGGCATTAAAACTAGCCGATCACTTAAGCAAGAAAACGCTGATAAATGATCTGTCACGAAACAAATCCGATCAATAATATTCGTTTCTTCGAAAAATTTAGAAAAGACATCTGCATTATTTCAGATTCCTACAAATGCGATCGGCACTAATTACTATTATCGATTGTTTAATCGTCTAATGTTCTTTTGACAAGTGTTTATATGGTTATGTATCCCAATGAAGAAAAAAAAAGACGTTAGCTTCACTTGCTAGGAAACAAATTAACACTTCATTATACTATCTTACTTGTTTCATATAAACATAGATACAAATGGATGTATATATAAGCTGTGTATCGACTTCTCAATTATCATTCTATTTATGATCTCATTTCGGTGAGATGGCTTGAAGTATAGAGAAACTGTTCAGTCTTATATATTCTCAACGATTTTAATATTACGAAGTTGCTCAGAAACTGCTGAATCGTACCTTCCAGCTATTGTACATGCACTATTCATATATATTTCTAGATATCAACAAACAAATACTTCAATTAAACGTAATACTTAACTTTTTCAATGGCTAACTCTAATGTCAGCAACACAGAGCAGGTATTGCAGCCAAAACAATTTTTTTCTTGAAAAAAAATTGCCTATTGATAATGACAAAACATGAATATGCTCATAGCTTTTTAAAAATTTCTTATTTAAGAAAATACGTCTCTTTATAGAGGAGAGCGTCCTAGCGTCTTCTACATAGCGAGGCGCTAGGACGCTCATCATATTTTAGAAAATTTGTTCTTCATCACGCAATGAAAAAGCTCTTGACATCAAAGAAAGCATGGATTGCAGTGTTTTTTTTTCTTTCAGTCTTTTATGGACACCGATTTGTATACGAAGCAACATTGTTATATTGATGGTTGTCCATTTGTGGTTAACAATGATCCTAATTGTTTAACTCAAGCGGTCAACTGTATATGTACTCATTGCTCCAAAAAGTTCTGTCTTATTCACTTTATTGAACATGAAAAAAAAGGAGAAGATTTAAGGTAAAAACAATTAAAAATCGATTTAATATGAATGTATCTTCTAATTTAAGATTAAATGATCCATGTTCTATGTCAATCTCAAGCGCTGTTCGTTTTATGGAGTCAACAAAATCATCATCGACCATTCATGCATCATCATTTTCTGCTTGTAGCCGCTCAAATACATGCAGCTGCATGACATGTTCATGCTCAATCAAATCAACTTTAGGCTCGGGTCAGCTTCAACAATTTTTTTCATTCTGAAATTTAAATCAATATTTTTCTCCTCAGTAGAATCAAAACAAATGTTCAATCCAATTGCTACGCCAACGCCAGCTCTTTTGAACGAAGACAATCAATCACGAGAAAAAGACGTAGCTGACAACGAAAATCCTGTATCTACAGAGCACTTGACCAATCTTTTGAATTCAACAGCTCATACTCAATCGAAGTCGATTGGAATCGCATCAGTTGAACCAAAGAATGCTGTACCAGCTACTACTGTATCAACAAGTATACTTTCTGTGGTGCAAACAGGTTTAAAAGGAAAATTAAATATGAAAGGGCCATTTGAAAATTCTGTAGATGATCATTCAATGAAACACAATAGCGAAAGGCTCAATCGATCAAACTTTTTTATTAAAAACATTGCAACAAATCTTAATTATATAGAAACTTTCACCTCCATCATAGCACAATATCCACTGGCTGAATCAAACGCTGCTGCGAATACACCAAAGATAAAATATCTGTGTATTGCTGGTAATTTCCTTCTCACATGAATTGTATGATTACTGTAAATTCTAGACACGTCAACATCAACGAATCAGAAGCTTATATCAATACATCTTTGTTTTCAACACAAAGTGAATTTTAAGCACAAATTTTTAAATCACCTGTTTCCGGGTAAGAATTTAAATGAAATTTAATTTAACCAAGCGTCTTATTGAACAGATATGAAAATATCCGATTATCTACTTGTAACAAATGCTGATCAATTCAATGCTGGAATAAAATCTTTAGCGAATGGTAAATACATTCAATCGTCGATTTATGCAGCCAAGGAAGAAAAAAAGCAGCCGACTCGTGATTATCGAAAAAAACAGAGAGAAGCTGTAAAAGCAAAGTTTAACCTATATTCGCTTCATAATGGTTGGATAATTTTTTATGTGAATTTTCTCTAAAAGACTTCTTTTTAGCTCGTGCTATGCTCAAAGACGCACTTCTTTTCGATTACTTAATATCAGGTCATAACATAAGAAAGAATATTGATTATGAACTTCAGCTTCTTAGAAGATATCAAGAAATAGAATATCGACCACCATTTGATGCAGCATCATTCAGGTAATTTTTTTTCTAAACTCATTCTTGCGACTTCTGTTTCGCTACAGGATTCCTGAGGAGCATAAAGAGAAAATAATCAATTGGATAAAAGATGATTTTGAAATGCGAATCCTAGGCAAAATCACCCGATCAAGATGTTTATTTATGGTCGGACCAACTCAACACGGTATGCAACTTAAGATATTTTTATATATTCAAGAGATTATGCATATAACTTAAACGATTGTATTTCAAGAATTATAAATTTAATTGTCTTCTACTGTTACGAAAGTATCAAAGAGAATATCTTGTTTATTTAATTCATAAATAGTGATTGCTCTATCGGTTACCTCTGTGCAAAGATTGAAGGAAATTGCAGACGAATTTTTTTCGTTCTGTCGTCTTCGCTTATATATGTTGAACGGTGAACGAAGGGGAAAAGGTAAACTTTAAGAGAAAGACGACACGTGCTCACGTCTAATCGACAACGAAGTTGAACACAAAATATCTATTTTTTCGTCCTTAACATTCCTGCAGAAGGATAGAAGCGATTATCATAACAACCGATTCATATGAACAGATATATCCTATTTGATCTTGAATGAATAATAGAATCACATTTGTTTCATAACAAACTAATCATTGGGCATAGCATGGAAATCGAATAAATTCATCACTGCTTGCCTTAGTCGAATGTTGTCAAGTCTTTATTGTTCATCTTAAAAAAATTTGTGCAGCTAAAATATAACAGACCTATTGTTCTTCGTATGTTTTTCTTATTGTGGAAGATAGTTTTTCTCTTTTTGATACATGATTGAGTATACATAAGCCTGAGGTTGGTTCACATACAAAGTATGCAGCTGAAAGTAACAGAAAAAATCTATATATTTTGACTATGATTTTTTGTCCGTACAAAAAATCATAAATAGAAAAACATGTTACTAGAAAAATATTCATCAAATGAGAAAATTATGTTACGATTCTGATACAGAAAGGTTTGATTCAAGGATACAAAAAATTTATTCAGTTTCACAGGAAAAAGTACACGATATAATTTTATCGCACTTATGGAGCACTATCTAAGAGCATGGATCGAATTCTATTTTCAGCATATTGTTAAAATAATTCTATACTTCTATGTATGCTGCTGTTAATTTTTCTACATACCTCAATTATTTATAAACTTTTTATTCAATCTATTCCTTATGCACATAAAAGTCTATTTTTATTTACGTATATTCAATGAAAATTCATTTGTAATATTTTATTTAATTAAATGGACTAAAAGCGACGTCAAATTTTCCTTTATAAATAAACCGATTCCTCTATTATAATGAACATAGCTTGGACAAAAAAAACATGAATGTATCTACACAGGTCAATGAAATATAATGAACGTACATATAAATGATGATTTATGCTGGAGTATGAAAAAAATCTTCAATATCAATATTAACAACTATCGTGTATCATCACATGTCGGATTTCACTATGTAATGCATATTGTACTATTGATCAATAGAATGTTTCGATTGTTTCAGTATAAAAATGATTTTGTTTGCTTTAAGTTTCCACTAAAACCCAACCAGGTACAAAAGAGTAATATATTACAAAACCAGTTTTAAATTAAAAAATTATGATGTCAATAAAATATGAATAAAAAATTTAACAGGAATAGAAGTTATTTCAAACAAGATGAGCCTATTCAATACAATAAATCTAAATATTTAGAATTGATAACAAAACTACAAGATACACATCGTTCTTTTTATTCTATATATATACACTCATTTGTTCAAGATAACATGCAGATCGTTTTTTATGATTGAATAAAAATTACATTTGCAATTTAAAAACTCGAAACACACAAAAAATTTTAAAAAGTTGAATAAACTATATATTTATATTTCAAAGAAATTGAAATTCAATATAGATCAATATAATATAGTATGCGTATTTCTCATTGTCTTATTCATTTATATTGTTGTTGTTCGATATTTTTGAATTTAATTTTGTACAAAACAAAAGCAATCTTGAGAAAATGATCTAAAAAATATATTGTCAAGTAAAACAATGAAAAATTACGTTTTATTTTACAAATGAATATAAAACATAAAATATCGAAACAAACTTGCAAATAAATGTAACGACCATAAATTATTTATCTTGATTCTGACATGGATACCTCGAACCTTTTTACTCTATTTTATTGATGAATAAATCAGTTAAACTGGAGTATTTACAAAAATGAGAACAAAAAAAAAGAAAACAGCGGTCGAGTTTATTTTTGGATTCAATAAGTTTATTATTGAATTGAAACTTATTCATGCGAAAGAAGAGAACTATGTCGATCTTCATTATAATAAACAATCTCAACAGATGACTAAATAACGATAAATAGATATGTGATTGTATACAGTGATCGTTAAGATTCATAGTAAATATTTTCTCATATTCCAGCATAAATCGTCATTTATATGTACGTTCATTATATTTCATTGACCTGTGTAGATACATTCATGTTTTTTTTTGTCCAAGCTATGTTCATTATAATAGAGGAATCGGTTTATTTATAAAGGAAAATTTGACGTAGCTTTTAGTCTATTTAATTAAATAAAATATTAGAAATGAATTTTCATTGAATATACGTAAATAAAAATAGACTTTTATGTGCATAAGGAATAGATTGAATAAAAAGTTTATAAATGATTGAAGTATGTATAGAATTTAATGGCAACATATATCGAACGAATTATTATCATACAATATGCGGTGTACATTTCTATGTATGTTTATTCAAACATTGCTGTTTATCCGTAGAAATGGGATTGATTATTCATTTCGATTATTCGATGGAATATTCTTGCTTTTATTTCATATTTCATATGGATTGATGTATATTATTGTTCTTCATTAAAATATGATTGAAAAGAAAATTTAATCCGCATAATCAAACCAAACTTGAATACAATACAATTTTAAAGACAATAAAATGTATTCGTGAATGTGGTCTACTGCTATTTTATGCATCTAAGATACATATATATATATATGTTTCTTGCTCTATTCCGATAATAAAAGGGATACTACATTCGATATACTTAAACTTGATACTATGAAACATCTTATCTTATATCTTTTGTTTTATATTTTTCGTTTTGACAATTTCAATTTATACTAATATTAAAATACACTTATATTCATCGTACGAGAATTCAACGCATATACTGTTTTCATGTTAAAATAAAATAGAAAAATAACCAAAGTATTTTCTTTCCTTCTGTAGTTTTCGTTTCTACAGTATATATACATAATATACTCTGCCTTATGAAATAACGAACATTTGATCAATGCAGCTGCTCAAAGTATTGCCGGCCTTCTAGTAGAAAAATTAAATTAGGGAAGAATGATATTGACAATGATTTTTATTATGCATTGCATCGTTGAAAGATATCAATGATGTACATTTGTAATAATACTTCGAGGGGAAAATATACTACGGCCATTCATACTTTTTGTTCCGTTGTAATATTAGAAAAGAAACAAACTTTGAAAGATTTTTGCGATTGCAAAAAAATCGTTAGGTTTGTAATGAAAAAGGACTCTTATATCTAGTGATTAAATTAAGTTTTCTTCCGACAGACTTTGTGGAGAGATAGCATTCTTATTCTGCAAGTTCTAAGAGAAATTTATATGTGGTTCTGTGCAACTGACTCAGTCATCATAATTTTTTTCAAAAATTATGATGAGTTAAAAGAAATATGAAAATAACATTCGCTTTGTGCAGGTTTTTAGTCGTACATGAGTTCTTGAATTGTATGTCTATATGGTCTCGGAAAAGATTGACAAATTTTAGGTATAAAGGTGAATGAAGCACACTGATGAATCTAACTATAAAAGATAACTGTAAAAGAAAGAATATATAATATGATTTTCACCAGTGTAATTCTCGAATATTTCATATTGACACCAAGTATATCCATAATACATATGGATTTTTCAGTTACTTCAGCTACATGCATTATACATGGATGTATGCCATACATATCAATGGGTCTAAATTGCAGTAGCTAAAAGTTATTTTTTTAAATGCATCAATGAAGCCTCGACATTTTCCTATTGAGAAATCATTACTACTTATTTAAAGTCCACGATATTTGTAGTGATGCCATTTTTACGAATTTTACACGAAGATGAAAGTCTCAAACTAGTATAAAACTTTGAACAAAGCTAACTTGATCGGTGCAGCCTTACACACTCGGGGCATTTTTTTAAATTGATTAAAATTAAAAATCCTTCGATCACTGATGACTAACTGTTACTAATTGACACATGAAATACAAAGTCATATCACTAGAGGTTGATTTGAAGAAATCTAAGATGAGAATTATAGACTATATTCATCTGTTGTCTGTCTATTCTGATAGCATCTCCGACTACCTCTTTCAAGATAAAAACA